ACCATGGCACTCTCTCTCTCTCTCTCTACGTCATTAAAAGTGAGTTTTGTTCATGTTTTTTCAAAACATGTGCAGCAAATTATGTGACCCACTCCGACAAGAACAAGAGATACACGATGCTTTGCAAGAATGGATGTCAATGGGGTCTACGGGCTCGGAGGCAGAGAAATGAAAAGTTGAAGATTCACATTGTTTTCACCTAAAGTTCAAATTGCAGGAATTGTTGAAATCATAAACCACGAATGCAAAGTTAAACATTGTTCACATAGCATTACACACCATAATGAGTCAGACCATAATGAGTTTGAACCATTATTCATACAACTCAAGGTCATCATCATCATCACTTACATAAGTGTTCCATCTAGCATATACAACCACTACTACTAACACTAGTCTTCCATCTAACATGAACAAGTACTACCAAATGGCACCCATGGCCATTTGCAAAATATGTACGGATCTTGCTGCCTTTGCACAAAAGAAACAGCACTATCGTACCAGTCCTCCATCTACCATATACAAGACCTACGTAATGCCAAACCTATTGGCATTTGCAAAATATGTACTACCTTGTCGGCATCAGTTGCGAGGAAACACTACTCATCGTCATCGTCATCATCATCATCCTCCTCCATGGGTGTGGAGATATGGCCATCGTTCGGTGCATCATCGGGGACTACAAGAAGGAAACAATGTCTCATTGCCAATAATTGTAAGAAGATGCACAAGTTGAAACAAATTTTGAAATCAATTACTCACATAAGCGACGGATATGCCTGTGGAAAAAGGTCATCTCCCTCGCATCCTCGGCCTCCTTAAAGTTGTAGGCCTCCTTGTTTTGTCACCAAAAGCTCATCAACTCAGCCTTGTTATTGTAATAATTCAGTTGTCGACCGGTCACTCGAGGAAAGTCCTCTAAAATCCTGTTACGGGTCTTCCATGATGGCATCTCTACCCCATACCTCGTCCTCACCTTTATCTGCTTCTCCTCCTGCATCCAACGCTTCCTATCTTTTTCGAGAGGTGAATGTATCTTCAGCCTCTCTAGTAACTCTCCACGACCAGAGAAATCCTCCCAATCGCATGTCCTCCCCACCTAAGGCTGGCGCTCGCTCGGCTGCTAGGCTTGTTAAGAGCTAGCTCGGCTGGCTCGTTATCCCCACGAGCAGAAAGCCCACTTCGGCTCGGCTCGTTAAAAGCTCAAGCTGGCTCGTTAAGCTCGCGAGCCAGGTATAAAAAATACATAAAATATAATATTTGTATTTATCTAAAATTTGAGAATAATAATAATAATATAAAAGAAATGCATCTAGACGATTACGGTCAATTTATAGGGTCTAGATGGGTTACACGATCAATTGTAAAGTGCAAGACATGAAGTAATACAAAAACTAATATAAGTTTTGATACTTTTTTCTCTGGAAGCTTGGCTCATTTAGCTCTCGAGCGGCTCGCGAGCTGGCTTGAGTTGGCTCGTTATAGCTAGACTAAAATCACTCGGTTCGTTATCAACGAGCCGATAACTCTCACCCAGCTAACGAGCCAGTTTTCATGGCCTTATCCCCACCTAAGCAAACACAAAGTAATGAGCAAACAAACCGGTAGCCTATGTTCATGTAGTAACTTCACCGGTTCAGTCAACTCACCCATAACTCAGATGGCTCTCCATAAGCATTACCATAGTAGTATCCATATCCTAACTCAGACGGAACAACTCCTTCACGAGCCTTGATGCCACACTTGCACTTACGCTCTGGCATCTTTGTGCATGGCCTTGGCTTAATGCCTACTTCAAACTCCGCAAATTCATAGTCAAAAGGCTAGTGCGATTTGGGTCCATAGTTGTACTCCTCAAAGTCACAAGATAGGAACCCTCTATACAAAAAACAAATGTTCCAAGTGTAACATTGTATGTGCAAAACGCATACAAGCTTAGAGATGGATGGCTTTTATGACAACTTACATAATCTAGCAATCCACAGCGATAGAAGGTAGTGAATTCTCCACGTTGGCTAGGAGTAGTTAGTAGCGCCGACACTCCACAGTTGCATTTAGGAGGATTGGCTAGACGGCGCAAAGCAACGTCAACCTTCTCCGCCTCTATCATTTTCGGAGGGTTCGGTGGCGGTGGAACCCAACGAACAAATTTCGAATATGGAACGCTCTTCTAGGGGTCATAAGAAAACCACATAATCGACAGATCGAATGTTTCATCGCCGTCGATCCACTGATAGAAGCTGCATCCCTCTAGGTATGCATCAAGTGTCGGGGGACGATGCTTAAGTTGGCAACAGTAGAAAGCACGCCCAGCTGATGTGGGATGCCTTGACTGCTTCACAAATGCCGGTAACCCACAATAACACAACAGTGCTGGCTCTGCTGGTAGGAAAGGACCGATACCACCATGATCCTTCGGATGGTGCACGAATTGGTTGTTATTTGGAACTGCCATTGAACCTATTACAAAGTAGTTGAACAAAGCAAAGTTATCAAAACATGATATGAAACCCTAGACACAACCTCATGGATTTCAAACCATCTCTGTATATACACAGTCCAACCCATCCATACATCTAATCAATACAAATTAACTTCAAATCACAAACTTAGAGGTAACTTTACTTAGCATAGACCAAGCCAGACACCTGTCCAAACATTGCATTCAAACCCTAGAACAGTGCCAACCACTACCAACAGTCTAACATCTAACAATGGAATCCTAATAATACGCGTGATTAGGGCAACAAAGTATTAGCTAACAAAGCAAAAGCCAGTATTACACACAGCAGTCTAAACCATAACAGTCCAAACCATAGCAGTTTAGAACCATCAACCACACAAAAAAATAACAGAGGATGAGAGAGGCATACCTCATGCACTAGACAAAGGAACCAAAAATCTAAAACCAAACTTGATCAAAGAGAGGTAGAGAATGAGGAGAAAGAGAAGAGAGAGAAAGAGGAGACACTGAGGTTCACGCCCTTCTCACATGACTAAGGGAGTTAGAGAGAGAGAGAGGAGAAAGCAGATGGGCCGTGCGTGGCCTTATAACGTCCTGTCGGGGCTGTCGCGTTGGAGTCGCTGGTGCGATAGTGCGGGGCCCACGCTACGCCACACCAGCATGGTCAACAACGGGCACCACCGTGGCTCGGCTTGCCGCGCCAGCACAGGTGGCGCGACGGAGTGGTACTGTCGCGCCAAGCCCGCTGGCACGACCTAAAGGGTCAGTTTTACAAATATTTTTTTAGATTAGTATTAAAATATTGATTAAAAAGGTTAAATAAAATTAAAAAAAATCCGGATATCTCTCATCTTCGCCGTTTTTGCCGCTAGTCTGTCACTCCGTCGTGGCACGATGGAGTCCGCGTTTGCAGCGATCGAGAGACTCGACGCAGAGGCGGAGCCGTGACCAGTGGATCAAGCACCGGCAGCTCAAGTGACTCGATAAATGCCGGCAACGGGTTTGGGCGGCACCGTGGACAGGCCCAGTTTGTTGGCCAGGCACAAATCCCAACGCGCTTGTAACAACTTGGTCGAACAGCGGCCCAGTTGGAGTGCGTGGCCTGGCCCAGGATCAGGCGAGCGTGCCTGCGGCACACAGGTGGGTTCATCGTCCTCGACTGCATCGCCGGAAAAGGCGGCGGGCGCCACTGCCCGTTGTTGTGGCAAAGGACTCCACTGATTGGCGCCATGATCGACGGCGACCCAGTTCCAGTCTGCCGCTGTACGCCCATCCAGATGTGCGGCGAAGGCAGAATGCAGGGATCAGAGGGACTGTCCCCTCCACGCAGCGGCTCCAAGGCGGATACCCTTCGAGCATTGGCTGCCCTTTTCCAATTCAGACAGCATCGGGTCCGACCACCTGAGGCGGCGGAGAGCTGCTTTTCGCAACGACAGCAAACTCCAACTCTTGGCTGCTTGCTACTACTACCACCTTTGGCGGCCCTTCGCTAGACGACGATGGCAAAAGGCGCTCATCGCCGTTGCCTGAGCAGAGCCCTGCCCAGCATCCACTGTCGCGCAAAGCAGTCGAACAGGTGCTTTACGACCGGCAGACCGGAGGCGGAGGGGTTCTCACGCTCTCTCTCACGCGCTCTCCCTCTTTTTTGCAGATACGACTCCAAGTAACAACCAGAGGGTCGGGCAACGGCAACGCCTCGGCCTCCACCGCGCCTTCCAGCATCTGCGCTGTTAATATGCATGTTAAATGATAGCCTAGTGCTGAGAAGATGGAACCACTATCATTATTTGAGATAATGATAGAGCCTAGTGTTAGAAGATGGAATGTGTAGTGTCACCACTACCATTACCATTACTCATGATGTAATAATTATGATAGTAACTCATTTTGTATCAACACTATATAATGAGAAGGAAAGCCAGAAGCTTAGTACGGCCAAAAAACAATTAGTTTCACTTGCGCCACCTGGTGCATGGTCCGCCGGAACGCCGGCTTCGGCTCCATGGCGTCGTCGTTGCCGTCAGTCACCCTTCTACAGGCTACAGCATCATGTCTTTCCTTCTCGTCATTGGCGCGGAGCACACGGCCGGGCGGCAGCGTCCACAGCACGTTGTTGCTCCCGTTGCGCGCGGCGTCGCCCACGAACGCGATCGAGCTGCCCGCCCGCCGTGATGCCGTGGCGAGCGGCCGACGTCGCTGGCTGGCGGGAGTCAGGTCTGGGAACGCCGTGGCGTAGCGTCGCATGCTGCACCGGCGGCACCCGGCGGCGGCGAGCCACATGGCAACTAATTCGATCCGTTTCAGGGGATACCATACCAACGAAATAGAATCGGCAACGGTTTCAGTTTCAGGGAAACGCATCTATGCAGCAGGAAACGTATCCCTTGATACATGCACCTATAATTTAGTCAAAGCAATAATTTTGTGTATATCCCTTGATGATACATGCACCTATTACTCCGTATATATAGAACTCGGTCAAGCTGCCAATAATCTCGCTGCAGAACAGGAGTAGTCGAGGAGACGAAAGCCGGCGATGGCGGCGCACAGCCGCCGCAGTCGCAGCCCCGAGTCGGCTCGCCGTCGTGCTCATCTTCTCCATCGCTCGCTCAAGCCATCCAAGCCCAACCAACACCATGCTCACGAACGCCGCCGCCCGCAAACTGCAGGCCGCCTGCCGCTGGGAAGCAACTTCGCCGCCGTGGCGTGGCCGACGGAGCCGGCGACGCGGGCGATCCTGACCGGCTTCGACGCCGGCCTCTCCGCGCGTGGCCTCGCCGACGACTTGGAGCACGTGGCGGGCACGGTCTGGCGGTGCCGGGTCAAGACTTCCGTCACGCCGCCCGAGTCCTACCCGGACTTCCAGCTACCCGTCCCCGCCACCGCCGACGACGACTACGACGCGGTGTTCCACCACCAGGACGAGCCGTCGTCGCGGCACGGTCGCGTGGCCCCTCACGCCTTCGTCCACTTCGAGCACCCCATCGCCGCGGACCGCGCCGGCGACTTCTTCAGGATGCGCGTCCCCGCGCAGAACAGCTACGTACTACATGGCCGGGCGGCCCGCCCGCGGGACGGCGGCACTGACGACACCAGGCGGCGGCCGATGCTGTTCCCGAACTCGCGCGTCGAGGTCGGCGACGTCGTGGCGCCCGGCACCTTCCTCATCGCCTGGCGCGGGACCGACGACTCCGCCTCAGCACTCGACTTCGTCGTCGACCCGTCCGCCGGTTGCTGCCGGCTGCTGTTCGCCCGCGACACCGCCTTCACGTTCCCCGACTTCCACCACCGCCCAGCGGTGCTGCTATGCTGCGACGTCAAGCTGGAGTTCTCCGTCGCCGACGTCGCCGAGGTCCTGGCGTTCGAGGCCGATGAATCGCTGCTCCTGCGACTCTCGGCCGCGCCCCTCGTGTACTACCGCACGGCGGGCGATGACGTCCATGACCGCGTGCCATTGCACCTGATCGACGTTGAGGACGACCCCTGGATACGAACCACCGACGTCACCCCGAGCGGCGCGATAGGCCGGTGCTCGGCGTACAGGGTCTCCTTCGCGGCGAGGTTCTGGCCGACGATGAGGGCCGCGCTGGAGTACATGAAGAAGCAGGGGGTACCCGTCGACGTCTGTGACACCCGGTGCCGGGGTTTCACCGTGCTTGAGGAGCCGGACTTCGGGCGGCCAATGCTGGACGTGTTCTTCTCCCAGCGGCACGACGAAGGCCTGCAGTTTCCGGAGCTGTACTTGGTTAATGTGCTGATCCACAATGGGACAGTCAATCCACACCAGCTGACGTCTGAGTTCTTCAGTTTGCTGAGGAGGGCACGTGAAGATGTCAATGTTGCTGCGTTGACAGAATTGTTTGGTACAAAGCTTCAAGTTTGTAGCAATCCATGCTCGAGGTTGAAGAACGCGCAGGATAGGGCGACCAAGAATCTCAATCTTCTCTTTCACAGCAGCAGCAGAAAGGCTGGTGATTACAATGTTTCTGAGGTGCGGAGGCTGATCATCACTCCCACCAGGGCATACTGCATGCTACCTCAACTGGAGCGCTCTAACCGTGTTACCCGGCATTATCATCAACTGTCAGATCGCTTCCTGAGGGTTACTTTTGTGGATGAGGGTATGCTGCCACTGAACGCTACTGCATTGAGCCTCCATGTGGTGCCTCTTGTTAAGGACTTGATGTCCAGCCCGTCCCAACAGATGACAACAGTTTACAGGCGTGTCCAAACAATCTTGACGGAGGGGTTCACCATGTGTGGCCGGAAATACTCATTCCTTGCATTCTCAACGAGCCAGCTGAAGCAAAAGTCAGCTTGGTTCTTTGCAGAGGGTGGAACAACTACTGTCGCAGGCATAAAGGAGTGGATGGGGCAGTTCCCGATTAGGAATCCTGCGAAGCATGCTGCTCGAATGGGGCTGTGCTTCACATCTTCATATGCAACAGTGACAATGCAGCCTTGTGAGGTTAATGAGTATCTTGAGGATGTCATTCATAATGGATATAATTTCTCTGATGGAATAGGGATGATCACGCAGGACCTCGCGTTGGAAGTTGCTGAGAGGTTGCCACTGACGGATAACTATGCCCCATCCGCGTACCAGATCAGATATGCAGGGTTCAAGGGTGTTGTAGCTGTCTCGCCGGGACAAACTGATGGGATGCGGATGTCTCTTAGGCCAAGCATGAGGAAATTTGAGTCTGCACACTCTGTGATAGAAGTGGTGTCCTGGACAAAGTTCCAGCCAGCTTTCTTGAACCGCCAGATTATAACATTGCTGACCAGCTTGGGTGTCCCGGATGCTGTTTTTTGGCAAATGCAGGAAGCGATGCTAGGTAATCTCAAAAGGATGCTATCAAACAGCGATGTGGCGTACGAGGTTGTGACAAACTCCTGTCCTGAGCATGGAAGTACCGCAGGACTGATGCTGAGTGCTGGCTTTGCTCCTGCAACTGAGCCACACCTGAGAGCAATGCTATTAGCCATCTGCGCCTCACAGATGAAGGGTCTTTTGGACAAAACGTGGATTTTTGTGCCCAAGGGAAGGTGGTTGATGGGCTGTCTTGATGAACTTGGGATCCTTGAGCAAGGACAATGTTTTATCCGGGTCTCAACACCATCACTCAACAACCGTTACTTGAATCGTGGTTCGATGATTGCGTCGGAATACAAAAATAATGCAGAGATTATTGTTGGTACAGTGGTAATGGCGAAGAACCCATGCCTTCATCCAGGGGATGTTCGTATCCTTGAAGCGGTGGATGTGCCTGAACTGCATCACCTTGTTGATTGCTTGGTCTTCCCAAGGAAAGGGGAGAGGCCACACGCCAATGAAGCTTCTGGGAGCGATCTTGATGGCGACATCTACTTTGTGACGTGGGATGAAAATCTTGTACCTCCCGGGAGAAAGAGTTGCACCCCTATGGACTACTCCCCAGCTAAAACAAAACAACTACCACGCGACGTACATCAACATGTAAGTACAACTACCCCTTTGTTCAGTTTATTATTAAGTTGACACGTCCTATATAGAGGAACCATCTAGTTAGACCATCTTAGGTAGACGTGGAGATATAGTGTATCTAAAATGGTCATTTTTGCCTCATTCTTCCCTGTCTTCACATACTTAAATTAAATGCACACTAATGCAATATACTTACCACCCCATCTTAAGAACTATAACAATGATTAATGGGCAATATGATCATTGTACATCTAACCTCAATTCTAGCGTCGAAAGCTAGATGGATTTATATCTAGGATAGAAGGGAGTAAGATGTAAAAACTAGATGGTTCAAAACAAAAACCAGAGAGACAATCTACAATATTTATTATTTTAGACGGTGATAGACAAACAATATAACCATGGCAAGAATATTTTCCGATTTAAGTATTTTATGTAGAATGTTTAAATTTAAATTTTTTAGTGACAACAATATTTGTACAACACCAAAAAGGTTCCTTAGTATTTTTTAGAAATAAATATAAGTGGTATTATATATATTGTCCCAAGCAGGTCTTTGGGTTGAAAATGAATTGATGCTTGGCATCCCATTTGCTTTTGTTTGATCAATGCAACTCCTGTCAGCTGCTGCTAAGTTCCTTTTTTAATCTTGTTTATTAAAATGAAACATAAATACACCTTTAGCTTATGTACATATTACCTAACGGATCAGCCACATATACATGACTAACATAGAAAAACTGTGACTTGCATCTCCGGTCAGCTCATCACCTGGTTTCTACATACTGCTTCTTCCTTTGGTTTGTATACAAATACTCGTTAATGAATATTGTGCTCTTGTAATAGGATACCATTGACTTCTACTTGGAGAGCATGGTAAATGACAACCTTGGTCGAATATGCAATGCTCATGTTGCTCATGCTGATCGGAGTGATGATGGAGCAATGGATCCGAAGTGCGTTGAGTTGGCTGAACTTGCAGCTATTGCTGTGGACTCCGCAAAGACTGGGGAAATTGTGAGAATGCCACCATCCCTTTCACCAAAAGAATATCCTGACTTCATGGGAAAGGAAGATGACATCTCCTACAAATCAAAAAAGATCCTTGGAAGGCTCTATCGATCAATTCTAGTGGAAAACGGTGGTGATTTTCTGTCACAAGGCACATGCATTTCAAATGAGAATCAATATGACACCGATCTAGAAGTTCCTGGTGCCTTAAGTTTTCTTGAGGATGCTTGGCAATGCAAGTGCTTGTACGAAGCACAGCTAAATACCCTGCTCAATCAATATGGTGTGCATAGTGAGGCTGAGCTTGTGACAGGGGAGATATGGTCACTTGTCGGATATAACAAGAAGTATCAATATGAATTAAAAGAGAGGCTCAACTATGCATATTCCAAACTCCACCAACAGTTCCGAAGTATCTTTGAAAGCATTGATGTCTCCTATGGTGAGAACAAAAACCTAGCATATGAGATGAAGGCATCCGCGTGGTACCAAGTAACGTATCACCCTGAATTTATCCGATTAAGGGAGCCTGATGATGAGAAAACACCCGCAAGACTTAGTTTTGCATGGATTCCAGTTGATTACTTGGCACAAATAAAGAAAAAATGTCATGGAGAAATGAAAGTTGAAGAGGGAAGGTCAGCCTACATTTTCTAAGAGGATCTGGCAAGCAACAATGCAATGGCTTGATGCATCCTATATATTTAAAGCAAGACCACCATTTTGCTTTTCTGAATGTATGATTTATCTACTGTACATAACCTTATTAGAAAGTGTCGGGGACCAATACTAGGGTACCCGAAGAGGAGGAGCTAATAACTATCAACATCGATTCATCCGAGCAGTCAAGAGCGCGACTACAACTCCAACCGACCCCCGGGTACGCAAGCTCCGTCTCGTCCGACCTCTGAGGCTGCGGGCTCCGCCTCGCCTGACCTCTGAGGGCTGGTTTCGCCTCGCCCGGCCTCTGGGGGAGGACTCCGCCTCGCCCGACCCTTGGGTCTGCGCTCCGCCTTGCCCGGCCTCTGGGGGAGGACTCCGCCTCGACCGACCCCGAGGCCACGGGCTCCGCCTCGCCCGACCCTTGGGTCTGCGCTCTGCCTCGCCCGGCCTCTAGGGAGGACTCCGCCTCGCCCGACCCCGAGGCCACGGGCTCTGCCTCGCCTGACCCTTGGGTCTGCGCTCCGCATCGCCCGGCCTCTGGGGGAGGACTCCGCCTCGCCCGACCCCGAGGCCGCGGGCTCCGCCTTACCCGACCCTTGGATCTGCGCTCCGCCTCACCCGTCCTCTGGGGGAGGACTCCGCCTCGCCCGACCCCAAGGCCGCGTGCTCCGCCTCGCCCGACCCCAAGGCCACGGGCTCCGCCTCGCCCGACCCTTGGGGCTGCACTCCGCCTCGCCCGGCCTGGGGGGGGACTCCGTCTCGCCCGTCCCCGAGGCCGTGGGATCCGCTCGCCCGACGGAGACCCATACCGCCGCCAACCACTCCAGGTCCAAGCGTATGGCCCTGGGTTAAAGCTCTGACGCCAAGAAAGAGACTGGCACGCCTCGATGTAGCCCGCGACCCATGACGGGTCATACCTAGGAGTTCACATCAGGAACAGCGTCGGGCGTACCAACGCTGTTCTGCCTAACCCCCGTACGAACATTGACGGGCGCGTCAGTTCACCACGACGTCCTCCAGGACGAAGTGGAGCGCCATTATCGGTAGACGACGCCTGCACATGGCGCCAGTGATGGACAGGGTCGCGACAAGAAGCTGTCCCTGTTGACGTCTACAGGGTCGGCGGGACCCGCATAGAGGAGAAGGACCCGGCGATTCTGAAGGACTTCTTCCTTTCGTTCTCTTCTCTTCCTCCATTGTAACTCGTACTTTCCCTTGGCCTATAAAAGGAAAAGCAGTGCGTCTCACAAGGGGCATCTGACTCGATTCTCAACTCAACTCGAGCGCATCGAAACACATCACACCGATTCGGACTCGAACCCCGAACCGATTAGAACGCATAAGCACACAGCCGAGAAGCGACCGAGCTCTCGGCACCCATTCGTTTCTCTCACCGGAGACTTAGAACATGTCTCTCTCTCGACCGTTTGTAACCCCTACTACGAACTTTCAGTGCTAATAACACGAGCAGCAGCAACGAACTGGACGTAGGGACATTCTGCCCGAACCAGTATAAACCTCGTGTCCTCTTAGCACACCATCCGAGCCAGACACGCAATATTAGAAATTTACTTGTTGGTGGCAACTCGAAACACCGACAGAAAGAGAGCTCCATATCTGGTAGTGATGTTTTGTTTCATATTCCACCTCAAGTGACCGAACAAACTTTAGGGAAGAGCCTAGGACTCCATCTAGATACTACATGAGAGTGTTCCAACTATCATGCTAAAGATGGTATTTCCTCTCAAACATCTAGGAATAGAGCTCACTGGAGTAGAAGGATCTTCAATTTGGATGGAGCTTTGTTGGAGATAGAGGAGTTGACTTGCCAAAGTGGGAAGTTCTTCCTTAGCTTGGTCCTCACTGTCACTGGCAGGATGAAAAAAAATTGTAGGTAGACTGAACCTTCATTATCAAGATGGACAAGAGGAGCAAGATCGACCAATTTTCAGATGTGGCCCAAATCATGTGTGCTTAGGTAAGATATGTAATATATACCAAAATAATTTGAAAAAAGTTGAAACCTAAGAAAACGGAAGAATGGTTCATTAGTGTTCTTTTAACGAAATATTCAAAGAAATATTCAAGATGCTACTTTATCTCTGACTTGAAATGTACAAAGGAGACATACATTTACCTAGTCCCAAAGGCGAACCTTAACAAATGAAATAAAATTAGGAGAAGCTTGTAGAGAAAAAGTATTAAAGCTTAAACACGCTCAAGTATCTCATTGATAATAGAAAAGCATGGAGATTACTGAGATAGGAGAGGCTAGTCTAGTAATTAAGAGGGTGATGAGAATCCTAAGCAACAGAAATTAGAGCGAAATTTTGGAGGACAGATGTGGGAAGGTCTTTGGTGAAGATGTTGGCAAACTCAGCATGCTTCGTGCGTTGATGTTGAATGGATTTGTGAACAAGTAGACTGCACAGTGTGACAAAAATACTCTGAGCATGAAGTTCCAGCAGAAGTTGGCCAAGACAACAAGTTTCAACAACTCCATTTGCCACAGACCTGTAGTTAGCCTCTGCACTAGAACGAGAGACTGTGTGCTGGCATTTGGATGAACATGAAACCAGATTAGCACCAAAAAACTAAGCATTATAGATGGCAACAGGCCGGCTCGGTACGGCACGGGCCTGTGCCGGCACAGCCCGAACAGGCACGGCACGGCAGGGCCTGGCGTGCCGCTCTGGGCTTCGTGCCTGGCCGACAGTTGATAGATTATGCTTGCCACAAGCTCAAAAGGAGTATCTGTTGCCAAGAATATGCGAGTATCTATAGACCACGAGCTCAAAAGGAGTGGACGACCAAAGGTGGAGACCGTAGTTGAGTGTACCCTGAAGGTAACTACGAATCCTCTTGATAGTAGACATATGAGGTTCTCAAAGGGTCATGCATGTGAAGACACACTTGTTGAACGATGTCTGGTGAAGGTAAGGTACTGGAGGGCCCTAATAACACTGCGGTAGTGTGCAGGATCAGCAGCAGAAACCTTGGCGTGAGTATCAATTGAAGTGTTGCACGGCTGTCAATCGGTAATTCCAACATGTTTCAAGAATGCCAATGGTGTACTGTTGCTGTGACATGAACAGACCACCCGAGAACTGCTAAACTGAAATTCCGATGCAAATGTCCAAGATATTTCATGGAGAATTCTTGTTGCAAGGTAGTGGTGGTGCGACGGAGAAGAGTCACTGGAAGCAGTAAAAACAATGTCATCCACATAGAGCAGTAAATAAATACTATCATATTCTCGGCAATAGACAAATAATGAAGTGTCAGACTAGGCTTCAACAAAGCCAAGAGACAACAGGTATGTTGCAAAGCGAACGTACCATGTGCAAGAAGCCTGAAGCCATACGGAGACTTGTTGAGACGACAAACATGGTTAGGAAGAGTAGTGCTGGGAAGATAGCAATGAACAGTCTCAGAGAGAGTACCATGAAGGAAGGTGTTCTTCACATCCAGTAGATGAATAGTCAATATTGTGATAGATGGATAGCAATAAACAGTCTCATAGAGCGTACCATGAATGAAGGTGTTCTTCCCATCCAGTTGATGAATAGGTCAATGGTGTGATAGAGCCAAAGAAATAATAGTGTGTACTATAGCGTGTCTTACCACATGATTGAAAGTCTCATCATAATCCACACCGGGGCACGGAGAACCCAACTAGACTTGTAGTGATCAAAGAAACCATCAGCATCTAATGAAAAATCCACTTGGCAGTGACCAAATTTACATCTGACAAACATGGAACGAGATCCCGCGTGTTATTGGACAAAATGTGCAGCATACTTAGCATACTCCTCTTCTGCTGTGGCGCGCCAATTTGGATTAGAAAGATCACTCCAATAAGTTTTCGGAATGGGAGAGATGGCGATCGCGTGGTAGCTGGCAGGTTGTCGGAAGACAAGCTTCCCTCTGGTGGTCATGGAGTGATTATTGACTAGGGGTGGCAACTCAACAAAAGCTGCAACAATAGGAGTAGGTCAGTACACCAGCAAGGTAAGTGGTGGAGCCGAGAGGTGAGTGATGATGCTCTGAGGGGGCACACTCTGAGGTGGAGCAGCTGGCACCACTTAGAGCACAAGACTCGACTGGCTTAGCGCCACTGAAGCAGTCGACGCCATGTGTGGCAAGAGACTCAGTGAGGTCAGAGCAGCCAAGGACGAGGCAGCCGCACAGCTAATACGGGCGTGACGCTAGACAGAGCAAGTCGAACGTGGCTGCTAGGAGTTCCTACAGAAGAGGAGCTAACTAGTGGACCAAGATGGCACACTTGGGGCTCAAACTCAAGAAGAAAATAAAATTCATTAGCAGTCGGGGAGGGAAGGGGGGGACTAAAATTCAGCAAAGGAGAAGGTGATCTCATCAAAGGTGACATGTCGAGAAACGATGACACAGTTGGAGGAGAGATCAAGCCACCGAAAGCCCTTATGATTGGAGGAGCACCCAAGAAAAACACATAGGGTGGATCTTGGAGAAAGTTTGTGAGGTGCCATGGAGGATAGGTTGGGACAGTCTATGCCACTACGGACACGAACGGTCTCCTGAAGTTCGATGGTAACCATGTTGAAGAGCCAGGACAGCACGACGTAGTCCATCAGGCGCCAGGACGAAACGCCAAGACGAGGCACATCGGAGAGGACATGGTCGACGAGGGTGTAGCACTAGAGAGTACGCAGAACAAGATCGCGCCACCAGTTGTAGTGGAAGGACAGGGGGTCGAGAACCGCCAACACAAGGGAGTGGATGTTCTGGAAAGCCACAACCTAGGCATGAAGATTGGCAATGGAGGTACTTCGTACTATATGCAGGCATTGTCATCTCCGGTGTCGTCACTCAACCCATCACCATCGGGGCGAGTCGGGGCGATGCGGTCATAGGAGGCGACGACTCCCCGTTTGAGAGCGGCAGTGTCGGCACACTTGGCGTTGAGAGTGGTGAGGGTCACACTAACACGAGCTTGGGCGTCGGCAGCCGCACAC